CTGTGACCACAGCTCATAGCAGTGGGCTCTGGGAAGGCCCTCTGGTCTCCATAGCAATGTGTAGTTGCACAGGGTGTGCACTGCCTAAGGCACCTTTTCAGGCCTGCGAAGTACCTTTGGTTTGCAGTGGTGTGGCCATAATGCACAGAGAGGGTAAGCATGCAGATCGAGGTTACGTAGCAAATCAGTTTAAGGCCCAATGCACTGTACACTCACTGCCTGTGACCCCCAGATTATGAACTCCTCTCGGACCCCACACCTGGTGCCCTGGCGCCCCGTGATGGGCTGTGGAATGGCGCCCAGCTCTATGCCTGCCAGGACCCTACCATCTTTGAGGAGAGACACCTTAAGTACATTTCACAGCTGGGCAAGGTGCGGTGGGCTGGGCTGGGCTGGGTTGGGCAGGGTGGCACCCAGGCACATGGACACCAGCCCCACTGTCCCTCAGGGCAACTTTGGCAGCGTGGAACTGTGCCGCTATGACCCGCTGGGAGACAACACAGGAGCCCTGGTGGCTGTGAAGCAGCTGCAACACAGCGGGCCAGACCAGCAGAGGGACTTCCAGCGGGAGATCCAGATCCTCAAAGCCCTGCACAGTGACTTTATCGTCAAGTATCGCGGTGTCAGCTATGGCCCAGGTGCGACCCCTCCCAAATGGGCACCCGTCGAACCCCACATGGCCATCCGCCCACAGCTCCCCCTTGGGGTGGTCAGAGAACACCAGTAGGTGCTGCGGTCCCTCTTCTTTATCCAGGTCTATCCATTTGAATGCCAGCTCTATCCCTTAGGAGTGGGATGACCTTGGGCAGAGTTGATTTCTGAGTTCCAATTTACCCACCTGAGAAATGGGTCATTACATGGTATTAGTGAATCAGTGTATATAGTAGAAAGTACTCAAGAGACACTGGTGATGTGTTGTTACCTTCCCCTTTTATAGAGGGCACTACTGAGTCCAGGTCCCACTCTGGACCAGAGGAAGAATGAGGAGGGGAGCAGATAGAACCCCCCCCACCACCACCACCACCGTGACTCCTCCATCCTCCCCTGCCTCCTAGGCCGCCAGAGTCTGAGACTTGTCATGGAGTACCTGCCCAGTGGCTGCCTGCGTGACTTCCTGCAGCGGCACCGCGTGCGCCTGGATGCCAGCCGCCTGCTCCTCTACGCCTCGCAGATCTGCAAGGTGAGGGGCGGAAGCTCCGGGACCTACGGGCGGAGCTGGCTAGCCTTGGATGGGAGTCTGTGTGGAATCCTGGGGAAAGCCGAAGGCTGATGTTGGGGTGGGGGGGAGGGCCGGATCCAGGTCCGGTTGGAAATGGAATTGAGTTGGGGCTAAGGTCTGGACTGGAGTGCAGCATGCGACAGGGGTGGGGTTAGGCTTGGGGTCTGGGTCGGGGTTGCAGTTAAATTCCAGGTCAGGCTCAGGGCCCCTTACTGAGTCGTCCTGGAGTCCGTACCCCATGTCCGCCCGCAGGGCATGGAGTACCTGGGCTCCCGCCGCTGTGTGCACCGTGACCTGGCAGCGCGTAACATCCTGGTGGAGAGCGAGACCCATGTCAAGATTGCTGACTTTGGCCTTGCCAAGTTGTTGCCACTGGACAAAGACTATTATGTTGTCCGGGAGCCGGGCCAAAGCCCTATCTTCTGGTAGGGACCTGGCCCGCTGGCCTCGGCCCCGCCCCTCCTCCCAGTGTGCTGACCCCATTCCTCCCGACACCCAGGTCTACCTCTCGGTACTGGCCTCACTCCACAGCTGCAGCAGTCCCTCTGAACCCTGTTCTGGCCCCCACTTTTTTTCTCCAGCACCCCAGCCCCTCCCTTGTCCCCCGCTCATCTGACCCAGCCTCTCCTCCTTACTGTCCTGGTCCCGCCCTAGCCCCGCCCCTCCCGCGGCCCGGGCCCCACCCTGGCCCTGGCCCCGCCCCGGCCCTGGCCCTCCCAGTGTACTGGCTGCATCCCTCCCCCTCAGCACTGACACCTCCTTTCTCCACAGCTACAGCCAGAGTTGACTCCCTCCACCCAAGTCCCACAGGGGCTGTCCCCAGAATCACTCCCATCCCACAGACAGGGAAACTGAGACCCCAGAGCTGGAGCCTGACCTTCTCATAGTCCCACCTGACAGCTCCCCTAGCCCAAGGCTGCGCCTTTCCGGTCTTCTGCCAGGCGCTCACACCCCAAGGATGCCCTGTCCCCTCCAGGTACGCGCCGGAGTCCCTCTCAGACAATATCTTCTCACGCCAGTCGGATGTCTGGAGCTTTGGGGTCGTTCTGTATGAGCTGTTCACCTACAGTGACAAGAGCTGCAGCCCCTCTGCTGTGAGTCAGCGTCCTGCGTCCCTAGCAACCCTCCTCCCCGCACTACTTTGCTGTGGCTGACCTCCTCCCCACAGGCGGCCCCTCCATCACAGAGGACCCTCCCCTTCCCCGACCACGATGAGCCCCTTCACTATGGCTTGCCCTCCTAATCGCTGGCTGGCCCCTCCCCACCGTCACGGAACGCCCCTTCCTCACCATGGGTGCTCCTCCTTGGCCCCAGGAGTTCCTGCGGATGATGGGATGTGAGCGAGATGTCCCGGCTCTTTGCCGCCTCCTGGACTTGCTGGCAGAGGGCCAGAGGCTGCCTGCCCCTCCAGCCTGCCCTGGTGAGGTGAGCCCTTGTTGGGATTGACTCAGTTTCCCACACCGAGGTCTTGGGCAAGCCAGCTGCTTCTCTGAGTCTCTTCACCGCGTTGTCTCTTGGTTGAGAGCTCCTGCTGGGGCGAGAGGCTGAACATTTTCAGAGCCGAAGCTTACCATGTCCAGAGTGGGAATAACAACGCCCTGGAGGGTGGGAGATCAGAGGAGTCAATGCTGCCCTGCGCTCAGCTCAGAGCTCAGCACACAGTCGGCACTTGGTACCATGGTACCATGGCAGGGGCTCTCGTGACTTGTCACAACTTCTGTGTAAGTTTCTGCCACGCAATTGGTCATTCATAAATTAATTTCCTCGGGCCACAGAAATTTATGGAGTGCCAACTGTGTGCTGCTGTTGGGGACTCAGAGGAGTCTTCCCAGGAACCAGCAGAAGCTAATGAGAACATTGTGGTGGGAAAGAGATGGGGGGAGGGAATGATGGAGGAGGGGTGGTCTGGGAGGAACTCTTAGAGGGGGTGGCACCTGGAGGAGGAGCCCACCCATGGGGAGAGTTGGCAAGAGGGCTTTCTCAGTGGAGGACACAGCAACTGTAAAGGCACTGGGGCAGGAATGAGCTTGGTGCGTTTAAATAACGATTTAGTGGTGTGGAGGGGGTGGGGTGGGGGTGGCAAGGGAGGGCGGGAGGCAGAGGAGGGGGTGAGATTTTGTTCTAAGACCCATGGGGAGCCATGGGAGGCTGTGGAGCAGGAAAAGGATGGAGTCTGAGTATATTTTAAAACTGTGAACAAGAGTCATGCCCTTCCTACCACCCCCTTGTGACTCTGCCATCTCCACACACCCACGTAGGTTCACGAGCTGATGAAGTTGTGCTGGGCTCCGAGCCCACAAGACCGGCCATCCTTCAGCACCCTGGGCCCCCAGCTGGATGCGCTGTGGAGTGGGAGCCGGGGATAGTGTCGGGAGGCAGGAGGCGCGCACCTTCCCTGCTTGTCTGGAGGAAGAGCCCCATCACTGTTACTTTTACATCTCCTGCACTCAGACCTCTGGATTCTGGTCTCCATGGACTGGCAGGAAGCTGCTCCCGAAGACCCCCGGGAGTCAAATGACATTGCATTTGGGGGACATCCCTGGCTTATGGAGCAACAGCAGCCTTGTGGCCTTTGAAACTTGTGAAGATTCAAGATAGGTGCCTTGAGCGGCCCACTGAGCCCTTCTTTTAGAAGCGAGGGACCTCATCTAAGCTCTTCTCATCTCTCACCCTCTCAGGATGTCTTCCTGTCTCATTTCCAGCAGGGACATTGTGCAGCTTTAAATATATGATCTCAGGTGTCTGTTCCCCAAATCTGCGCTCACTGAAGGAAGCCAAGAGCAGCTGCTTTGGTTGGAAATTCACTTTTTGGGGGAGCAAGTGTGACTGGTACTGTGTCAGGGGTCAGAAGAGGCTAGGGTCTTGGTCTACCCTCACTGTACCCCAGGCTTGGGTTCCCAACACTGGGACCCTTTCTGTCTTGACCAGAGGTTTACACATTGATGATCCTGGAGCCTGATAGGAGCTTTTCAGCAGTTGAGGGATGGAAAGGCAATTGTGGCAGAGGGAACAGCATAGTAAGAGTGAGGAGGCTCAGAGGACGGAGTTCGTTGGAGCCCATGGTTCTGCCACTTTTTGCTGTGTGACAGTGGGCAAGTTGCTTCCCCTCTCTGGGTACCAGTTCCTTAGTGCTGGCCCTTCTGCAGTCAGCTACTGGAGGCTTGTGCAGGTTAAGCCTGCTATACCCTCTCACCTTCCTTCGAGGCTTTTCTGCCACTTAGCCTCCCTGGAAAGCTTTTATTCATTTCTCAGAACCTCAGCTCTCACCTCGCTGAAGCCTTCCTTGGTGTGCTCCAGCCACTCCCTGTGAGCCCTGTCCTTCCTTGCGATCCTAGGGCTAGGGTGCGACTGTGTTCAGCTCCAGCTCCTCCTCTGACCTGGAGGCTCCGTGAGGGCTGGGCTTGGGTGGGCACAGAGGGACTCTGGGGTGTTCATTAAATAAATAAAGTAATCTAGTATAAGGGATGGTTCGTTGCTGGACTTGGGTGACGGGGAAACTTGGGGAGGGGTGTGAGCTGGGAAGGAATGTGGTTAGGGCCCCAGGACAGGCTGCTGGAGGAGAGACAGCAGGGTGGGGCATTGGCTGAGGCTCACGGGGGAGAAGCCCTCCTCCCAGTCCCAGCTGGTGGCCTCGGCTCTGTCCTGGGGAGCTGATTACAGGCTTTAGTGGGTGGAGGGAACAGGCTGTTCTGTGCAGGTTGGAGGGCAAGGCCCAGTTGGGAGGGCTAGGCTGTGGGGAGGGGTTCAACCTCGGGAGGGAGCTGGTCTCCTCTGTGTTCCTCAGGACTGCTGGAAGCGTGCGGAGAGTGACAGAGAAAGATAAAGAGGGAGGGGAAGAGAGAGAGAGAGAGTGTGAGCGAGCAGGGGAGAGAGATGAAGACAGATCTCTCAGTCCAGGAAAAGCTGCCTGCTCTGGTGAAAATCACGGAGCAAGAGTGTGGGGTGGCTGCTCTCTAAGCTTAAGCAAGACCAGGTTTTCAGCTCAAGGTCTCTCTGCCTTAGTTTCCTTTCTCAGTAAAACAAGGTCATAAAGGCCTCCTGGGCACCAGGCTGGTACCCAGTAGGTGCTAAGCAAATGCAGCCACCTTTATTCTTCGCCTAGGCTAAGAATGGTCTGATGTGGAAGAGCCAGCACCCGCAGCCCTAGGGCCCGCCCTCCTGCAACCTTGGACAAGTGTGGGGTCCCCTCCACTAGCCTCGGTTTCCTGTTAGCACAATAATAGCAACAAGGTTCTGGGTGTCCCTGGTCGCGGTTGGCTGAATGCCCACTCCAACCACTACCACTTCATGAAATTATTACTTCTCAGTTGATCTATTTCACTTCTTTAAAGTGGGTATAGTAAAAACAAAGACCCCTGAGCCAGAGGTCCCTCTGAGGAAGGTACACCCAGGACACGGGCCTGGGGAGAGAGGCCCTTGCGTTTCGCGCCTGTCTTAGTCTGTCAATAACTGATGTTGCGGCTCGATCGGGTCCTGCATTTCTTATGATTATAAGACACCATTAGTGACTATTAGGGAACGTTGAAAAAAAATAAAGGTTTATTACTTGTAGGATCTGGAAATAACACACCTGGGGCCACAGAGTGAGAGGCCGGGTAAGCAGAACATGCACAGGCCTGCAGTTCGGCGGGTACTGAGGGTGGTGGGGGAAGGGGCTGGGGTTTGCCCTCTTTATTGTGAATTCAAAACATGAGAGTGGTAACTGAAAGCGTGAAAGAGAAAAAAACAAGTGGGCCAAGTGGTCAGTTATCAAAATCAACCATCAAGATCTCGAACACAGAGGAGTCTCGGTGAAGGTGGACAGCACTTCACCAAGCAGCTGGGCAGGCACGTGGTTTGTGGCGATGGCCCTCGTTGAGATGGTAGTCTCCATAATCAAAGCTTAATCAAGTCAGGCACTAGCATTACAAAAAGATAAATAAATAAAATAAAGTAAAATAACAAAGAAGAAAGAAAAAAAAAAGGAAAGAAAATAGTGTCAAGGCTTATGCTGCACTCACCCTGACCCTGCCCTTGACCCTCTCTCCCTGGGCCCTCTCCATGCTGTCTTCTTCCTCCAAGGTCCCCAGCTGGGGCGGGCTACAGACCTATAAAGGAGTTGCGGGCTGCGCTCGGCCTCCGCCACCATGGACCCCCGCCTGCTCCCCTGGGCCCTGGTGCTGCTGGGCCCGGCCCTGATACTGGCGCTGGGCCGTGCTCCTGCCCCAGAGACGCCAGAGAAGCTGTGTGGCCGCCACTTTGTTCGTGCGCTGGTGGGAGTGTGTGGGGGCCCACGCTGGTCCCCTGAACCTGGGAGGCTGGTGGCTGGCGGCAACCGTGAGTGCGGCAGGGGGATGAGGACTGTGTTTCCCGGTGTCTAAGTGGGGCAGGTGCACGGGGTGCAGGTGGGCATCAAGGCCGCGGGCGGGTGGGTTTTCACTCCCTGACCAGGGTGCCCCTGCCCGCTGCGAGGTGTGTGTAAGTTGGTAGAGGATGCGTCCCCCGCTGGGCGGAACCTGTGCGAAGCCCACTGGGAACAGGCAGAGCCTCCTCGAAAGTGCACAGATCGTCTTTACCATGTCAGTATTTTGATCTTCGTGCATTTTCCCAATAATTTTGATTTCTAAAATATTGCATCATTGAGCTTGGGTGCTCCCTTAAATTGTACTCCAGGAGGCCAGTGCCCACTCTCCTCACCCTGGTCCCAGCCCTGGTTCAGAGGGCATAAAACAGGTTTGTGTGCACCTGTGTCCCACATGTGCTCGTGTGTCTGTGTGACAGGGATCAGACGCACAGATGGCAGGTGGGGGGCACTGCGAGAGGGTTTGAGGGCACATACCCATGTGTGCTCATCTTGGGGTATTTTTGTGTCAGGTTGTACCCACTGTCTGCACACCTGTGAACATAAATGTGTCACATGTCACCTCTGCTGTCTTCTGCTCTGTTAAGTGTCTGGGTGTCCAAGTGATAGGTAGCAAATGGGGTTTGAGTGGGGATGTGGGTCAAGAGTGCACACACCTGGATGGGTGATTCAATCTGTGTCCAGTGTATACAATAGGCACTTAGTAAGTGCTTACTATTTGTGTGCATGATAAGTGTTTGGTGGGGCACTCAGTGGGATGTGAGCATGCAGGAGTGTGCACACAGCGTGGGGGGTGGTCTATTCTGTCACCAGGTGAGCTGCTGCAATGGCTGGAAGGACTACATCTCCATGGGCTGGTGGCCAATAGGGACTCGATGCTGTTACTCAACCCTCAGCACCAGGGCTCTCAGCATCACCGCCGCCGCCGGGCAGCTGCTACCAACCCTGCCCACCACTGCTGTCTCAGTGGCTGCACCTGGCAAGACTTGCTGGCCCTCTGTCCCCACTGAGCCTTCCTGGGGCATGGCTTCTGGGGAGCCAGAGACCCAGAAGGTATGGTCTGGTGGACTCCTGAAGCCACACAGCACCATAAAATCCCATATCTGGGGGGACATTGTTGATTACCTCCTGGGACATGGAACTTGCCACCTACCCCAGACCACCTGTCCTCTGTAGGGTGCACTTGGGAAAAAAACACATCCCACCCTGGCTTGGAGGATCCTTGGTTTCACTGAGATGCCAGACACTGAGGGACAGATGTCCTCACCCCTGAGGAGCCCCAGGTGCCACCCTCTCTGCATTTGTGACACCCCACCCCGTCTTGCTGTCTTCCCACTAGTAAATAAATAAAACTGCAGAATTCAAAGCAGCTTTTTGCACTTCCTCAATAGAAAAGGACAAGCCTGGGTCAGCCCTCGCGTTGGCTTGGCTCCTGGCAGCCACGGACCACCAGCACTCCTGGGAGTTGACAACGATTTGAGAGTCATCACAATACAAAGTGAGGATACTGAGGCCTAGGGAGATGGCTGCTGGCCAAGGTCAGACAGGCAGGGAATGACCAAGTGCAGGATTCAAATCCTAGGATCTCTCAAGAGCCCTGGGAGGACCTTAATATCTAATGCCCACTTGGTGGTGCACACACATGAACACATGAATGGGTCACAGTGGATATTTATTGAGCCGACCCTGACCATTCTCCTCACTTACATCCTCCCTCTATCCTAAGACGTGGACTGTACAGTATAACTTCCTTCCGGTGAGGTGGGTTCATGTCTGCCAACCCCTCCCATGGGGCTGGGAGAAAAAGAACAGAGCCCGCAGCACAGCACACAGGAGGTGCACACCACTTAAAGGAGTGTACGTACTGGCCTTGAGCCCTGTGAAGGCACTTTGGTCCCAATACTATTCCCTGAGCACAGATGTGGGGGCTTGGTCCTGCCAGGGGGCCCAGACCCTGAGTCACCACAGCCTGAGAAAGATAGCTGCCCCCCCCCGCCTAATGTGTCTGCCACTGGAGCACAGACACCACGGACACAGAGGGGCGGTCCCGTGCACGGCCTCTCAGGCCATTTCTACCATCTGAGGGGTCCAAGACCAAGGGAGGGGCGGTAACTAAACGCTTCCCCCTGGCTGAAAAGTGCCTCTTGCTTCAGCTGCATGTGTACCTAGGAATTCCCAGTTGGCCTTGAACCCTAGCCAGAACCCACCCATGATTAAACCATTGCAGGTTCCCTACCAAGGAGAGGCTGGCCACTGTTTAAGGTCCAGCCTGAGATCAAGGTTGGAGAGGGGATGCAGGACTTTGACTCAAAGGGGCTAGAAGGACCGGCAGCTGCTGGAACCCTGGCTGAAGTGCTTCTGCCAGTAGCTGCCATGGACAGAGATGGTCCCTCCAGCCAAAAGTCTAGGGGAAGATGATGAAGATGGTATGAGCACCGGGTGAGTTTCGAAGGTTGTGTAGGAGCTTGCCACAAAAGTTTTTATATTCACTATCAAACATTCCACAGCACTCCCCTGTGCCCTCAGAGGACAAAGGTCTCAGCTTTCTGAGAGGGAGATGTAACCCCTTCCTATGGGGGTGGACACGGGAGCCTAGAGGCTAGGGGGTCCCAGCACCACCTCCATAGACCCAAGTCTGCTTGCCACAGGCGAGGTCTGCCTGGCCCAGTGCATTCCACATGAGCAGCATCTCATAGGGCAAGAAGCGGTGCACCAGCAGCAGCTCCCGGTAGAAGCAGGGGTTGAAGGAGGACAAACGTGCTGAGGGAGACCTAACGCCAACAGTGCGGATCCCGCTGTGTGAGGCGGGCTTCAGGCCCTCCTGCTGCAGGCACATGCCCAGGAAGACGTCATCGATGGGGAGGAGGTCTAGGGTGCGTGCGGCCCGGCCCAAGGCAGCCGCTGTGAAGCGGGACAGCAGGAAGCCACCACCTCCACAGTAGGGCGGGTAGTGCTCCTCCTGTGTCACTATCTTTGGCACATAGTACTTGCTCTGGGGGGCCCGGATGGGGCCCACGTTCTGGATCAGTTGCCCCACAAAGAGGTGGTGGTCAGGGTTGTGGTCCAGCAGGTAAGAGACCATGTTGTCTGTGTGCGCAAAGACATCGTCGTCCCCGTTGAGCACGAAGCTGGCATTGCTGCACCGAGCCTCCTGCCACTGTAGGAACAGCACCTGCGGGCGGGCAGATGGGCCACCAGGGTTCACGGCTGGGACCATCAGCCTCAGGTCCCTGTTGGCCGCCCCAGCCCATCGAGCACAGCTGAGGCTGTGTCCCCCCTGTCAACCCAGCCTGGGGTCAAGGTACCACCCTGTGGGGTGACCTCAGTAAAAGACCTCTCCTTTCTGTGCCTCGGTTTCCAAGTTCCCTTTCAGGCCGCATCTCAGGACCGGCCTGCAGGAGCACTGGGGTCCCTAAAGAGGATATTCTGTTCAGCGCCAGGAAGACTCGCACTTTTGCGTTTACTGCTATTCCTTCCCACTGTGCCTGGCCAAGCGCTGCTGTCATAGAATTGCTTGTGTGGTGGTCAGCGGACACCCCCCACCCCCAGACTCTGGGCTCACCCTGGGTGGGGCTGTGTCTCCCTACCCCTGCTGTGTTCCCAGCACTGCTGTGGGCTCAGTGCCTCCTACAGGCTAGATTTCCGTATGTCAAGTTGTTATTCACCGTGTGCTTTGGTGTTTTGTGTTAAGAAGGTGGCTTGTTGAGGGGTCCTGGCCCTCTGCTCACTTTGGTTTCAGTTCCCTCCAAAATAACCTTTGTGCCTGCCACATACAGTCCTGAGGGCCAGCTCTGCTTTGAGTCCCTAATGTGAGCATAGGAGGCAGGTGTGGTCTTCAACCCCATGTATAGACCAGGACATAGAGGCTGCCCAGTGATGGTGCCTCAAACAGGTTGCCTGACCCAGAAGTAGCCCCTTGGTGTCTTGAACCCAGACCTGTCTGTGCCTGCCAGGAGCAGGGACCTGCACTGGGTGTCTGTGCAGACCGCTCTGCCCCCACCCAACCTGGGCGGGTCCTGGGAGCCTGCACTGCCTCCTCTGCATGTGGATTCCCTCCACCTCTCATGGGTTCTTGTCCATCAAAAACGTCTTTGTGTTGTACCCACTGCACAGAGGGGGCCTCACGGGGACACTGACCAGACAAAAACAGGATGGACTCTGTCCAGCCCCTGCATCCCCACACCCCACTGCCAGTGTTGTTTGAGTGTCTGGCACTGATCCAGGTGACTCGTAAATATTATCTCACGCAATGCTTACTGTGGCCCTCAGAGGTGGGTGAGTCCAGTTAATAACCAATTTCCCTGCTGAGGAAACTGAGGCACAGAGAGGTGAACATCATCAAGGGCAACACAGAGCCTGAATTTCAACAGAGGTTTCAGGACCCTGCAGCCAGGCTTGAACCTCTGGCCAGCCTGGGCTTTCTGCCTGCCTCCCCTAGAGATAAGGCCCTCGCATGCCCTGAGGACATTAGAGGGGGCAGGGTGGGGCGGGGTGGGGTTCAGGGTCTGCTGGTTCCCTTGGGCCCCTCAGAGGAGATGGTGATCTGGGCAGGAAGCTCAGGTGGCCCAGATCAGGTGACTGTCTTTCTGCCAGCCCACCTGCTTGAGTGTGAGGTTGAAGAAGGTGTCATAGAAGTCCCACTGCAGGATGTCGCCATGAACCCTCGCCTCCAACGCCAGCAGCTGGTTGACTTTGCGGGCCTCATGCGGTTCTTGGGCCGTGCCCACCAGAAAGAGGCGGCGCAGCCAGAGGCCCCGCACAGCCCGCTCGCTGCCCCAAGTGCGCCGCACCACCTCCCGGCGCTCGTAATTGTGCGGGGACGACTTGATGACCAGCAGCAGGAAGACGGGCTGCGCACACTTGCTGGGCGGGGCGTCCTGCAGCAGCGGGAAGTCCCGGCAGTGTTTGTGCAGCAGGAAGTCGCGCACGTGCTGTGGCTGCTCTGCAAAGTCTGGCAGCTGGGCCAGGGAAGTGTTGGCCCTGCAGGGTGCCCGCGCGGGGACAGTTGGCTCGGGGAGCCAGATCAGTGCCTCGGGGGTGTCCCCCGGCTCTTTCAGTTCCCTGCAGGGGCCGCACTGGGGAGGTGACAGGTGCAGACTGAGGAGGAGGAAGAGGAGAGTGAAGGTGCAGAGCACCAGAGCCAGGCCCACCTGTGGCAAGGACCTCGGACACCTCATCCTGGACTGCAGGGTTTGGGACTGATCCGACGAGATCCCCAGGGCAGCTCCAGGGAGAGTAACACTCACTGAAGATCCTGATGGGCCAAGCACTTTTCCTGAGCCACCTGTGGACCCCACACCTGGTTGCAGCCTGCTGTTGCTCAAGTTGGTAAAATACTGAAATTCACCCCCACCTTACCCCCACACCCGGACTCCTCCTGCACCCTAGCCCAGCTGGACTCTGACAGTAGCTGGGGCGGGGGGGGGGGGGTGGGGTGGGGGGGGGGGGCCGGGGCAGGACGCCTGCCTGGGATTCCATATTTACAAAGGAAACTGAGGCACGGGAATTCCAACTAGAGCCCTGCAGACTCCATGTGCCCAGAATCCGTCCTTCCCACACCCAGCCTGCTCCTCCTCATGTCCCTGCCTCAGAGATGGCCCAGGAGCCTCCTGGGTGGAGACAGAGAACCCCCTTTTTGTCAATTGCAAGCTGCTGGGGGTCCTTCCTGCTTCCCTTTAACACCTGCTGCTCTAGAGAGCTCTGAGCTCTGGCACTGAGGTCCGTTACAACCAGCACCTCTTTTTCTTCACTAGTTTGTTAAAGATTTTATTTATTTATCTTTAGAAGGGAAGGGAAGGAGAAAGGGAGAGAAACATCAATACGTGTTTTGTCTCTTGTGCATCCCCTGCTGGGAACTGGCCTGCATCCCAGACATGTGCCCTGATTGGGAATCAAACCGTGATCCTCTGGTTCTCAAGCCTGCATTCAATCCACTGAGCCACTGCAGCCAGGGCTTCTTCACTATTTTTAATGATCCTTTGACCTGAGCGTGGCCCCTGACCCTTTAGAGACCCAGGCTTGGCATGTATCATCAGCACAGCCATCTCCTCGGGCGCACTCCTGCTCCTCCTGCAAACTCGTCTCCACACCCCCTCCTCTAGGAAGCCCTCTTCCACCCTGGGGAAGAGTCCTGCTTCCCCCGTGGGTACCTCCAGCCCCACCACGGGATCTGCCTCGGTCCTGACCCCGTGGGGTGGCTGTGTCTGGCTTTGTCTTCCAAAACCCGGGGGTCTGGCATCAGCCAGCACAAGGCAGACACGTGGGGAGAGCAGGGAGTGTTTGAATGAATACATTTATGAGTAAAAAATTAAATTGATTCAATTTATGCCTGGCGAACCCTTATTCAAACTCACAAACCCCAGCTCTAACTCTCCTCTTCCTGGGAGCTTCCCCTCCTCTAGGCACAGCCGCAGGTCTCCCTTGTAAGTCCCTTTGCCAGGCTTCCCTGGACGCCTTCTCGCCTGGTAAGGTGGTGTCTGTGCTGTTTTCCTAAACTTGAGGGTCTCTTTTCCAGTGTGTCGGGGAAGTTCTGGATTAGACCCAAGACAGGACTTAGCTATTCAGCAAACACTTATTGGCCAGTCCCTGAGGGGTGCAGACTCTGGAGCCCGACTCCTGGGTTTGTTTGGACACTGATTCCATCACTTCCTGGCTGTGTGCCTTACACAGCCCAGACCTCAGTCTCCTCAGATGTAAAAGGGCATATGAACAGTCCCCAACTCACGGGGCTGTGCACGGGTGAAGGGACCTCTCCAGGACAGACACCTAAGTGGGCACTCAACGAGTGTTTGTTGAATGAATACACGAACCTCAGCACTTACCTCAGCCTGCCTCAGGAGATCTCTGCTGGTCTGGGGTCTCCTCGTTGTCTCCACTGGCACCTGGAACAGTGTGGGGCATTTAGGGGGTTCTGGTGGTCCCCTCCTGTCCCAAAGGACGCCACCCAGCTACTGCCTGGGAGCAGGCAAGAGAGTAGTTTCCTGTTTACATCCAGAGCCATAAATTTGCACTGCACCGGGGATGGGGCCTGCCTCCCGGACCCCTGGGGCCATTTCCCCAGTGTGTCCAACTCTGTCTGCACAGTCCCTGGCTAAGGCCTCTCCAGCCAGATGTCACCCAGAAATGGGACTCAGTTCCCAGCCCACACATCCCACTGTGTGGCCTTGAGAAGGAAGCTGGACCCCTCTGAACCTCCATGTAAAGGGAGGGGAACGAGCCCTGTGTAAACGTGTTGTGGGGCTCTTAACCTCAGGCGTGGTGGGCACAGTCCTGCCTCAGGACCGTTGCACAGGTGGCCCCTCTGCCTGGCATCGTTTCCCCCAGATGTGCACATAGCTCCTCATTGCCCTGTGCCTCTTCAGATGCCCCCTTCTCAGGAAGGCGTCCCCTCATGGCACTCGGTCTCACTGATACCCCACCCATTCTACTTTTGCTTCCTTCCACACACTTCCCACCTTCTAAAATACATCACAAAACATTTGAAATGTATTTTCCTTATCCATCTCCTCCACCAGGCCATAAGCTCTGTGATCTGCCACGTCCATTCTTCTACCCCGGCTCCCAGAACAGCGCCGCCATGTAGTCAGTGCTCAGGGAAAGTGTGTGGAGTGAACGATGAGTGAATGCACGCTGCCCGGCCACAGCGTCGGACTGTGGAGTAAATGTGGACGGCCATTCATTCCTCAAAGCCAATGTTTACCGTGTGTCTGTATGCCACCTCCTGGGAGCTGGGGACACAATGTGATCAGGTACAAAGTGTCTAAATATCTTTGCCACTTCGGAACCCACACTGTCAAGCAGGACAAACACTAAATAAAATCCTCAATAAAATGATAGAAAGTGACAAAAACCAAGAGAGAAAATGCAGTCTGGTGGCATGTTTGGATTTTGAGGCCCAGGTGAGGCCCTGAGGTGGGAACGAACTGGCAGAGCCTGAGCAGTGGCGGGGCCCTGCCTGCAGGTGGCACAGAGCCTGTCTTGCTGCTGTGGCACCCCTAGGGTGGCTGCCAGTCCCCAGGGGTTCGGCTTCTGGCAGGCAGGTCTGGGAGACCCGAAAAGGCAGATTATCTTGGGGTGAGCCTGTGAACTGATGAAGATGTCTCTGTGACACAAGAATGAACTGAATCTCTAAAGGACATCTTCCTGATCTGAACAGTTGTCTCTCTAAAAAATAAATAAATACATAAAATCTCAAAAACAAACAAACAAACAAACAAACAAACAAAACCCCCCTCTGCCAAGCCAGGGCCACCTCATTAAGAACCTGTGACCGTTAGTGGGTGATTAACCACTAACCCATCTCCAGTTTAACATCTAAGCCAGAGGTTGGCCCCCGGGGGACACTTGGCAATGTCTGCAGAGTTATTTATTTATTTTAATACTTTAAGAAGTATTAATCTATTTACTAATTAATTTTTTTCACAAGAGGGGCAGGAGGAAGAAGGACAAGGAGAGAATTGTTGATCAGCCGGCTCTGGCACACTTCCTGACTCGGGACAGACCCACGCCGAGGCGAGCACCCTGACCTGGAACTTACATTTCGAGGAACGGCTCCCGCTGACTGAACCCCGCAGTCAGGGCTAGAGATATTTTTGGTTATCTCTACATGGGTGGGGTGGGAGTGTGAACTGTAAATGGCACAGAGTGGGTGGGGGCCAGGCGCACTGATTAAATCAGCATTGTGCTGCCCCACCGGGGAAGCTGACAGCCCCAAAAGTCAACATTGTCAGGATGGAGAAATCCTGGTCTGAACCAACAAGAACTGGCAGGGAGAGGAGAGCTCAAAGCCAAGGACGGCCAGAGAGGCGAATCAGGAAGTGAGTCATGAATTTTAATATCGTTCTGTATAAATCCACCATACGGAATGTTTAGGAGATTTACTATTGCTTATTTATGTTATTTACACATCTGTTAAACACTTACTAAATAGAAAAATCAAACCTTAATGGCCAAGCATTAGTTCACTGGGAATGTATTTTGTAGGTTCTAAACAAGGGCTCCAAAGCAAGGAAGACACCTCAGCAAATACAAACAGTTACAACTCAGCCGAACCTGGCGAGGGGCACGAGGGGCACGAGAGGAGGCGAAACAGCTACATAATGGCCTATGTCACTGGGGCCAGAATGTCAGGGCAAGACGGAACCTCTTGGAGCAGCCATTTAGGTTGTTTTTTTTTTAAGTATATTTTATTGATTATGCTATTACAGTTGTCCCAATTTTTCTTCTTTATCCCCCTGTGCCCTGCACCCCACCACCCTCCAGCATTCCCCCCTTAGTTCATGTCCATAGGTTGTACATAGAGGTTTTTTGGCTTCTCTATTTCCCATACTGTTCTTAACACCCACCCACCCCCTGTCTATTTTGTACCTAACAATTACGCTTCTTATTTCCTGTACATTTTCCACTCATTCTCCCCATCCCACCCCCACACTGATAACCCTCCATGTGATGTCCATATCTGTGATTCTGTTTCTGCTCTAGTTGTTTGCTTAGTTTTTGTTTTTTAGGTTCCGTCGCTCATAGTTGTGAGTTTGTTGTCATTTTACTGTTCATGGTTTTTGATCTCCTTCTATTTCTTAGATAAGTCCCTTTAACATTTCATAGAATAAAGGATTGGTGATGATGAACTTCTTTAACTTGACCTTATCTGGGAAGCAATTTATCTGCCCTCCCATTCTAAATGAAAGCTTTGCTGGATAGAGTAATCTTGGATGTAGGTCTTTGCCTTTCATGACTTCAAATACTACTTTCCAGTCCTGTCTTGCCTGTAAGGTTTCTTTTGAGAAATCAGCTGATACAGCCTTATAGGAACTCCTTTGTACATAACTGTCTCCTTTTCTGTCGCTGCTTTTAAGATTCTCTCCTTATCTTTAATTATGATGTGCCTTGGTGTGTTCCTCTTTGGTTCCAACTTCTTTGGGACTCTCTGAGCTTCCTGGACTTCCTGGAAGTCTATTTCCTTGCCAGATTGGGGAAGTTTTCCTTCATTATTTGTTCAAATAAGCCTTCAATTTCTTTCTCTTTCCTCCTTCTTGGCATCATCAAGATTTAGATGTTGAAATGTTTAAAGTTGTCCCAGAGGTTCCTAAGCCCCCCCTAATTTTTTGAATTCTGGTTTCTTCATTCTGTTCCAGTTGGATGTTTATTTCTTCCTTTTGTTCCAAATTGTTGGTTTGAG